TCTATTCATAATTTTAAAACTAGGTATGATAGGGAAATAGGACCGGAGTCATTGCTGTAAACAACCGATGGCTCGAAAGGCAGGATCCAAGAGTCAATGCTCGATCCTGCAGACACAAATAGGTGAGAACACACACATGCAAATATTAGCACCCCTAAGCTTACACAGACGCGTATACACGCACGCTAAAATTCGAGCACGCGGAAATACGCAAACACAGAAATACACGCTTACAGTAATACACGCACGCGAGCATTCCCGCAAATGTTGTTGCGAAGTGTTCCATAACCCACTGCACAATATACGTATCACTCCAGCGCTGTCTATCTAAGACATGCGACAATGGCTATCATTTATAATTCTAGTTCATTGTGTCGGGGGGGGGGGGGGACAGGAAGCCAGAGTGTATTCATACACGTTTGGCTTATATCGAGGTTCTATCTATATAGTCATGCTAGTTTCGTGCAGTATGCTTTAAAAAAAATCATTATTTTCCTATCAGGCACTAACAAAATGCAGCCATTCACCTCGGCGAACTATGAAAACAACTTTGAGAGGGTTCGATTCCCGATATTTTAACCAAGTGCGTTTCGGTCTCAAGGTCTTTCGCGAAGGCGGCAACAGCCTCCCCTCCCCCCCCCCCCCGTCATCTAACCTTTGGTTAAATTGCATTATATTTGCGACATTTTGGTTCCAAATCTTTTTATACAACAGTATTTCGTTGCAAATACGATTTGAATCAATACGTTGCAGAATAGAACGTTTTATCCCCCGAGTTTAACGAAGACGAGCCAGCACGAACTCGCTCGTACATCGGCCCCAGACTGATGTTGTGCGGGCTCACCATAGCCCGTGCTACTTGGAACTTTTTGTTACACGTAGCGCATCTTAAACAACAAGAACAAACGACTGACGTTGAACAAAGATACCTTTATTTTGCTTTGATATTGAGAACGCTGGCATGGGAATGCTCTAATTCTGAGCATTATTAGTGCCAATTCTAATTATTAATTCTGAGTGTTGTAGCTTCAGAAACACGACTCGACGCCCGAGTGCCTCGCTGACCTTCCCAAGTAGTACCTTGTGTCTTGAAATTGAAATTGAAATTGAAATTGAAATAAGTTTATTGAGGTAAAATACACACAAAGGGATGAGGTAGCTCAAGCTATTCTCACCCCGTTCAGTACATCGTGTTAATACATACATAGACACACATCACAAACATTAAACATATTCCTTGTGTCTTAGGGAGCTGAGGAGGAGGTCTTAGGTTACCAGAGAAGGAAGGTGCCTCGCTTTGACCTAATGGTACCTGCTGTGAACCCCAAAAGGAACCCATATCTTGTGAACCCCAAAAGGAACCCATATCTTGTGAACCCCAAAAGGAACCCATATCTTGTGAACCCCAAAAGGAACCCATATCTTGTGAACCCCAAAAGGAACCCATATCTTGTGAACCCCAAAAGGAACCCATATCTTGTGAACCCCAAAAGGATCCTGTCCAAATATGAGAGCACAAGTCAGGTATCAGAAGGAACTAATATGGTGATCTTTAACCATTTTGCAGCGCTGCCAGTGCCAACTGACAAGGTGTCACACCTAAGATGCCGCTGTTGGTTCTGGCACAGTGCCACATGAAGGATCTGGCCCTCCAGGAGGGATCTGGCGTTTGATTAATCACATCAGTTACTGTCGTAACTCAGTGTTACTGTATGTCAGTGTTGTGTGAGTGTGTGTGTGTGTGTGTGTGTGTGTGTGTGTGTGTGTGTGTGTGTGTGTGTGTGTGTGTGTGTGTGTGTCTCCTCAGATATTGATGCTTGAAGCATAAAAGTCACCGCAAGAGTTTACTGTCCAGCCACCAACTTCGACTTCAGTTCAAGGCTAGGGTAAACTGTATATATTTCTCCCCTGTTAAGTCAAGAATACTCGTGTATTTTGTATGCCTGGTAAATCGCCCTTGTCTGTATGGTTAGTTATTACGACTTGTATGTAAATGCATGTATACTTACGTCACGCTTTTTACATAATTTCGTAACAAGTGTGTTTAGTAGTAGTAGTAGTGGTAGTGGTGGTAGTGGTGGTAGTAGTGGTAGTGGTGGCAGTGGTGGTAGTGGTGGTAGTAAAATCATTATTGCCACTAGTACAAAGAAATAATAAACTGAGATCATTAAGACTTTACAAGGAAAAGATGAATGTCGCTCTAATAATCTCCCGCCCCCCTCCCCCCCTCTCCCCTCCCCCCACACACCCCCCTCTCCCCTCCCCCCACACACCCCCTCCTGCCTCCCCCAACACCCCCCCCCCTCCTCTGACCCCCCAGTGTTTAGGGTCATTACTTAGCCGCAGCGAGAATCATTCGCACGTCACTCTTGGGTGCCGCAGGTGTGTGTGTGTGTGTGTGTGTGTGTGTGTGTGTGTGTGTGTGTGTGTGTGTGTGTGTGTGTGCGCGCGTGCGTGCGTGCGTGCGTGCATGACCTTAGGGGAGTGGGTGAGGTCGTACGACCCCTGGGGGAAGGGCTGGGGTCGTACCCCCTATACAAATGCCACTACACAATCCCTGGCTTAGAAACTAACGTGTTAATTATACATTACCCGCATTATATTTATTCATGAGTGTGTGTATTGTGCGTTCATCACTGGTACTCAGGGTGGACGCAACGTGTGCGTCAACACCCACCACCAAGGTGTAGCTAAAGTTGACCCAACACCTTGCGTCATCACCCACCACCAAGGTAGCTAAAGTTGACGCAACACTTGCGTCATCACCCACCACCAAGGTAGCTAAAGTAGACGTAACACTTGCGTCATCACCCACCAGCAAGGTATAGCCAGGGGTGGACGCAAGGTTTGCGTCATCAACATTCAACAAGCGTGCCCTGGTGGATGAATCTGGTGATGATTGAAGCAGCGGGCGCTCGTGTGTGAGCGGAGGGGCTCAGGGCGGCATATGACACAAATGTAATTAGTAAATTAATCAACTTTATTAACAATATGACTTAATGAGGGACGCAGTAGGCATTCAAAGCTGGGACCACAAATTGGAGTGCTGGGCGGCCGCGGGTGGTGGTGGTGGTAGGGGGCGGTAGGGGTGGTGGTGGTGGTGGTGGTGGTGGTTGTGGTGGTGGTGGTGGTGGCGGCAAGGAACCGCCACTGCCCATAACATTCCGCGCAGTCTCCCTTGCGCAACTCCTTCGAACTCGGATATACAGGTAATTCACCTTCAACTTACAGTGAATAACACCACCCGCGCCTCCTCTACTGCCTCCTTCGTAGTGTGTACACACACACACACACACACACACACACACACACACACACACACAGGGGGTCAGGGGGTCTAGTAGCGGAGTGGACAGCGCGCAGGACTTGCAATTCTGTGGCCCAGGTTTGATTCCCAGACCACGCAGAAACAAATGCGCAAAGTTTCTTTCACCCGACTGGGACCGACTAAAGAGCCTAAATCTGTATTCCCTTGAGCGCAGGCGGGAGAGATACATAATAATCTATACGTGGAAAATAATTGAAGGGCTGGTCCCAAACCTGCACACAGAAATAACATCACATGAGGCCAGAAGGCATGGCAGGATGTGCAGAATACCCCCGTTGAAAAGCAGAGGTGCAACAGGTACTCTGAGAGAGAACTCTATCAGCATCAGAGGCCCGAGACTGTTCAACACGCTTCCACTACACATAAGGGGCATAACTGACAGACCCCTCACAGTGTTCAAGAGAGAACTGGATAAGCACCTCCAAAGGATACCTGATCAACCAGGCTGTGATTCATACGTCAGGCTACGAGCACCCGCGTCCAACAGCCTGGTTGATCAGTCCAGCAACCAGGAGGCCTGGTCAACGACCGGGCCGCGGGGACGCTGAGCCCTGGAAGCACCTCAAGGTAACCTCAAGGTATGGTAACCCTGAATGTCCCTGTTACCTAGCAGTAAATAGGTACCTGGGAGTAAGACAGCTGTTACGGGCTGCTTCCTGTGTGTGTGTGTGTGTGTGTGTGTGTGTGTGTGTGTGTGTGTGTGTGTGTGTGTGTGTGTGTGTGTGTGTGTGTGTGTGTGTGAAAATAAAAAGAGTAGTTAGTAACAGTTGACTGACAGTTGAGAGGCGGGCCGAAAGAGCAAAGCTCAATCCCCCGAAGGACAACTAGGTGAATACACACACACACGAATTAAGTTCTAGTTATTAACGTCTCATGATAACGCAACCCAAGTTCGACCCCCCCTTTCCCCTCCCCCTCCCTTTTCCCCCTCCCCCCCCCCTTTCCCTCCCCCTCCCCCTCCCCCCCTTTCCCTCCCCCTCCCCCCCCTTTAAACAGTTATTTGTCGGGCTGGCTCTATGGTTCGTCGCCCACTCTACCTCCCGTGATGAATTACCCGCGACTCTACCCTAACTCAAACAACTCCTGGAGCGAGGCGCCTGACACGACTGACTCCAGGACCTCTCTCAAGCTCCCTGCCCTCGTAGCCCAGTGCTATATCATAGCTGAGTGGACAGCGCGCAGGACTGGTAATTCTGTGGCTGGCTTCGCCCTCCTCCTCCTCCTCCTTCCTACCTTTCCTTAATTCGTTCCTCACTAATTGTCGTTAATCTTGGTGATGATTAAGTGGTGGAGGGGGGGGGGAGAGAATGGGTGGGAGGAAATAACGGATGATAGTTCGCCAGTAGACGTTGGTATATATATATATATATATATATATATATATATATATATATATATATATATATATATATATATATATATATATATATATATATATATATACACTCTGCGTCTGCCTTAGAACATTTCTGGTTCATTTTAGGAACTAGTTCGGAGGGGCTGAATTGGGGGGGGGTAGAAGGGCGTGTTCTTGGCAGTTTGGTGACTGACTGCTGATTGGCTGGTGACGGGCTAATGACTAAGTGGCAGCTTGGTGACTGACTGTTGATTGGCCGGTGACGGGCTAATGATTTAGGTAGCAACTTACAGTGGTCAAGACAAAAGCTCACCACTACATGTCGTAGAGCTGCTCTACTCCGCTGGGAACGTCGTAGAGCTGCTCTATTCCGCTGGAAACGTCGTAGAGCTGCTCCACTCCGCTGGAAACGTCGTAGAGCTGCTTTATTCCGCTGGAAACGTCGTAGAGCTGCTCTACTCCGCTGAAAACGTCGTAGAGCCTCTCTACTCCGCTGGAAACGTCGTAGAGCTGCTCTATTCCGCTGGAAACGTCATAGAGCTGCTCCACTCCGCTGGAAACGTCGTAGAGCTGCTTTATTCCGCTGGAAACGTCGTAGAGCTGCTCCACTCCGCTGAAAACGTCGTAGAGCTCCTCTACTCCGCTGGAAACGTCGTAGAGCTCCTCCACTCCGCTGGAAACGTCGTAGAGCTCCTCTACTCCGCTGGAAACTCAAAGCAACATTAAATTGATGCTGAAGAGTTAATGAGGAGAAATACAAGTGAAAATGAGACGAGGAAGAATGAGAGAGGAGCAGGAGCAAGAAGACTATATGAGGCAGGGAGTATGGAAGAGAAGGAGTATGAGGGAGCGAGCAGGAGGAATGAAGAGGGGGCCATGAGGGAGAGAAGCAAGAGCAAGGAGTAGTATGAGAGGGTGTGAGGAGGAGGAGGAGGAGGAGGAGGAAGATTATGAGGGAAGCCCTGAGGGAGAGTGAGAGTATGAGGAGAGAAGGAGATAGGGGGCGGGAACAGCCGTTGGGAGCCACCCACACACACAGACAAGCCACCATCAACCACACAGACTTGTGAGTGAGTGAGTGAGTGAGTGAGTGAGTGAGTGAGTGAGTGAGTGAGTGAGTGAGTGAGTGAGTGAGTGAGTGAGTGAGATCTGCCATGAGGGAGCGAGCAGGAACAGCTCACTCACTCACTTGCAAAGACAGGTTCTGTAAGAGAGAGAGAGAGAGAGAGAGAGAGAGAGAGAGAGACCGCCAGCCTCTCCAGGAGGAGATCACAGAGGAGAGAGAGAGAGAGAGAGACGTGGGGGTTCATTAGTGGTCCATGTGGCCCATTGTTGGGGCGAGGCCGTGTCTCTGGGACCACACAGGTGGACCCCCATTGTTAACATCGGGTTAGACACCATCCGGAAGACTACCACGCTAGACTCCTCTTACCTGTGCACGCATGCACGCATGCACGCATCACGCTTGACCTATGTAAGCAACGGCCTTTACAAGTACACACACACACACACACACACACACACACACACACACACACACACACACACACACACACACACACACACACACACACACACACACATACACACACAAACACACACACGCGTGTGAACACTAAAAGCAATGCACGTACACACGAATGAACGCTTATATACGTCATTCAGGGGCCCAGATTCACGAAGCAGTTACGCAAGTACTTACGAACGTGTACATCTTGCCTCAATCTTTGACGCCTTTGGTTACATTTATTAAACAGTGTTCAAGCATGAAAACTTCCCAATCAACTGTAGTTAATGTTATAAACAGCCTCCTTGGTGCTTCGGAGCTCATTAACTGTTTAATAATTGTAAACAAAGCCGCCAAAGATTGAGAAAAGATGGACAGGTTCGCAAGTGCTTGCGTAACTGCTTCGTGAATCTGGCCCTCCCCTGGCAGGACTTCCACAACGACGGCGTATATTCGAGGTCCCCCACACCCCACTAGACCTGTAAAACCAAAGTGGGAGACCACAGTTCGAACCAAGCCAGGGTGTGGTGAATATGTGGGCCTGCAGCCCGCTCCTAGTAACAGTTCCGTTGGTCCACGTTATCACAAGCACTCCCAGAACTCCCACTCCATGTGCTGGGAGTGGGTTCTGGGAGTGATAAGAAGGTTCCATCTCTTATCACAGAATTGGGAGTACTGGGAGTGGGTTCTGGGAGTGATAAGAAGGTTCCATCTCTTATCACAGAATTGGGCGTACTGGGAGTGGGTTCTGGGAGTGATAAGAAGGTTCCAGCTATTATCACAGAATTGGGAGTACTGGGAGTGGGTTCTGGGAGTGATAAGAAGGTTCCATCCCTTATCACAGAATTGGGAGTACTGGGAGTGGGTTCTGGGAGTGATAAGAAGGTTCCATCCCTTATCACAGAATTGGGAGTACTGGGAGTGGGTTCTGGGAGTGATAAGAAGGTTCCAGCTCTTATCACAGATGACACTCGCAAGTCAACAGTAAACATGGACCGAGTTTCGAACCAAATCATCAACAAATCATCATAGACCCGTGTGGAGGGGGAAGGGGGGAGGGGGGAATGATGTCAGTATTTTCCTTGTCAACACGCTTCACGCACTTAAAGGGGACACACTTGACACTCAAAAGGGGGGGGGGACACTCGCTCGACACTCTCACAGAGGCCAACGAGCGGCTGCCGTCATCATCATCATCATCATCATCATCACGGGGTCTCAGGGGTGACGTAACGTTGCGGGCTGAGAGCAATCATCTCCTCTCGTAAACACGTGGCCTAAGCCTCCTCGCCCTCCGTCTCCCCCCACACACACGCGCGCGCACACACACGCACACACACACACACACACACACACACACACACACACACACACACACACACACACACACACACACACACACACATACACACACACACACACACACACACACACACACACACACACACACACACACACACACACACACACACACACACACATACACACACACACACACACACACACACACACACACACACACACACACACACACACACACACACACACTGACCCCACTCACACGCATATAACCTCGACTCCCACTAAGTCATTCACACACCGGTATATGTTGGTTTATGTCACTCAATATATGAAAGTTATTACAAAAGACTTCCAGAGAGAAATAGTCAAAATACATAATAAAACACCCTTGAGAATCAAACAACTTAGTGACCTAAACAGTGTTAAATAAATAACTATATATCTACACTTAACAGAGAAAAATGCCAGTTTTTCTCCTGTTTGTCCAAAACTGGAGGCCAGACGCCTTGGGCTAGACTCATTCACATTTGTAGGGGGAAGGGGAAGAAGTTATCAGGGGAACGTGCCACGCCATTACGACTATATAGCACTCGGAAGGGGGTCAGGATAATGATTGCGGGCTATTCATACCCGTGCCATCTCTTGAGCGGCTTAATGTTCATCAAGCATGATAATGATTTGGGATGGGACGGAGGAATGGTACCCAACCACTTGGACAGTCGGGGATTGAACGCCGACCTGCATGAAGCGAGACCGTCCAGCCCAAGTGGTTAGGCAGAGGGGAGGGGGCAGAGGATAATCTAAGATGCTGAACGAACGCAGGTTGCCCAAAGTTAAATGCTATAAAAAAAGATATTACCAATTATGAACACCCTGGAGGCCATTTTCAGTGTGTCCCTCGATGAGTCAAGTATGGCGTGTGATCAACGTGGTGTTGTCATAACACTAATTTATATTATCTGAGAGAAGGGGGAGAAAGGGGGAAAAGGTGGGACGTACAGATAGAAAGAGAGACAGATAAACAGGTTGATAAACATAATCAGATGCAACCAACATCACATTAAATGCAAATGAGCCAAATTGAAATTGGAGAATCGGCTGAGTGCTGTATATATATATATATATATATATATATATATATATATATATATATATATATATATATATATATATATATATATATGACGCGACACTTGACGCGTTCAAGTGTCGCGTCAGACTAGAAATAAAAATGAATTTTGGAGAACGGATTTTTCAATTACCATCGACAGTGAAAAGAACTATAAGAAATATTGAGAAAATTCGTGTTAGAATTATTAATCTTACTTTTTCGGTCATATTTAATAATATATGTCTACAGGAAAGACTGCTACCAAAATATACTATATATATATATATATATATATATATATATATATATATATATATATATATATATATATATATATATATATATGTCGTACCTAATAGCCAGAACGCACTTCTCAGCCTACTATTCAAGGCCCGATTTGCCTAATAAGCCAAGTTTTCATGAATTAATGTTTTTTCGTCTACCTAACCTACCTAACCTAACCTAACCTAGCTTTTTTTGGCTACCTAACCTAACCTTACCTATAAATATAGGTTAGGTTAGGTTAGGTAGGGTTGGTTAGGTTCGGTCATATATCTACGTTAATTTTAACTCCAATAAAAAAAAATTGACCTCATACATAGAGAAAAGGGTTGCTTTATCATTTCATAAGAAAAAAATTATAGTAAATATATTAATTCAGGAAAACTTGGCTTATTAGGCAAATCGGGCCTTGAATAGTAGGCTGAGAAGTGAGTTCTGGCTACTAGGTACGACATATATATATATATATATATATATATATATATATATATATATATATATATATACATCGGAGCCTGCATAGTAGGCCGAGAAGTGCGTTCTGACTGAAAGCCGTATATATATAATACACATGCGCTGTTTTCACAGCCTTCCCTTCCCCACGCTCTCACCCTTCTATATATATAAAAAAAAAAGAGAGAAGTCAAATGAAGTCACATTCTAAGCTCTGACGAATTCGCAGCGGGATGAACCAGGCCTTTTGATGTCAGGCAAATTCACTCATTAATGTGCCCCGTCCTAATGACTTAATTCCTCCACCCTTGAAAGAACTCGGAGCTCGTTGAACGTTGAATACCGCTCGTCAACTCTCGCTTTCAAACTTCGTACAGAAATGGGGAAAAAAATCGGCCGTTTGTTCGTGTGTTTTTTTTTCAGTCGTGTCGGTACGTGTTTCTTTGTGATTGCTAAATTGCAGGAATTTGTGTCGATTTTTTGTTCGCTATCTTTCTCTCTATGGCTTTAGAAAATAAAATTCTTGCTACTACTTACTTTTATTATATATATATATATATATATATATATATATATATATATATATATATATATATATATATATATATATATATATATAGTGAGGATATCAACTATAAAATACATAGTGTTCATATTATTTGTTAGGATTATTATTTGCTATCATATTATGCACTTATATTTCAGAACAAAAAAGCTTGCAATGGCATAAATCTATTGTTTTGTCATCTGAATCTATAGATTAGAATGCCTGTCTGTCCATCAGAAGTTGGAGGCCAGACGTCTTGGGCTAGTCGCATGCAACTTTGCTCCCTTAATCCTGTGGGAGGTACGTGCCCAATGTGCTTAGGTCAGAGTCGCCAGCATTCAAGAGAGAACCACAGGCCACGGTCACATACTGACCCCCACCACGATTTTGACACCAAGTGCCAGTGTCTGGTAAAATATTTGGAAAATAAACATTTCAGATTAATTTTTTTTCTTGCAGTATTGGTGAATATTAGGAAGCACCCATCTTCTCCAGTGCTTC